AATTAACAAACTAGTTAAGTAAGCATGTAAACTAAATGAATGTGACTGCCTCGGCTCTATTTTGGATGACCATGGATGCATGCATGCTCGAGTCACCTCGTCGGGAAATCCATCGCGATGCTTCATCCCGCCTTTGTGTGCAATTTATTTCAGAAACTTGCACGAAGCTCCAAGAGGCTGAAACTCCACTTTGGGAAGTTGTGGGAGGGCTGCTGACCAGCCAATGGCATGGGAGACCACCTGCCAACCACCCCTTTGTGGTGAACACCAATAGGGTGGTTAGCCTACCAGAAAACCTGGTCGGCCGACCACTTTCTGCTCCTGGATTCTGGTTTTCTGCAACACAAAGCAATAGGGAAGCATGGCAAGGTATTTCCAACAAATGTGTGCTCGACCACTCTCCCCGTCATAGCATAGGCTCTAGGGAGTGTAACCCTCGATCCTCGGACCACCAATCACGCACGTCGATGCATGATGGCCGAGGAGTCGGATTGCACGACTTAATGTGACATGAATGCACAAATAAGCATCTAAAGCCAACAACTCTATCATGGATAGTCAAGAGTATCGGCGATCGGGAATCGAGGCACGTTTCATCACTTGGAGTATGAAACGCTCCTTGTTTCCCGTGTTTGGGCTAACTCCTATCCCAAACATGATGAAACAAGAATGGCATGCACAATGCAACTTCTAGCATGCAATCCTAATGTATAGCATGCAATCTTAATGTAATGCAACTAAATGATGCGAAGATGCAAGGAGTGACATGCAAGCATGCAAATGGCATACACAATGCTCTGAACTACACATGACATACTCAATGCACATGGACTAAACAATGGCATACATAATGCACATGTGAAGATTAACAAACACAATGAGATGAACAAGGCATGCTCAACGCAATGATCAACTCATGTGACAACATGGACTACGTGGCATGCACAATGCAAGATGGACTTAAACCAAAGTGAATGGGCCTCAGCCACACCCAAATCAGTGGCCAAACATGATGAAATCAAAGTAACAAGACACACATAAGCATGCACAATGCAAAGGCCCGAACCTAAGGCATCAAATGCCACTCTACCAAAGCATGGTAAGGGATGAAATATAGCATACAATCATACATTTTCAGCTCTGAAACGATATGCAAGATGGTCCCGAATCATACAAATATGTCACACAGTGCATGCTAGATGGCCCAAATACCAAAACTAGTGAAGTGCGTTGCACTAGAGGTATACAAAGCAATGCACGAATGGTAAAACCAGCCCCAAACAGACCCTAGGCAAGTCCAAGACAGTGGGAAAGTGGCCTAAAATGATGGCTCAAAATGCATGGAAATGAAGCTCATTCGATGGTCCAAAAATGAAGCATACAAGCACAACTCTCAAACGCATTTACAGAGTGGAAAACATAGGAATATGGCATACATATAAGCTCTGAAATATGATGCACAATGGTCCCAAAATATGTCAAGGACCCAAACAACGCATGCTAGTGGACCCGATATGTGAGGCTAGTAAGCTTGATTAAACTATGACCATATACAACAATGCATGCATGACTCGAAACACTTCAAACAGAGCTAAGGCAGCCCAAAACATGCACAAAATCAGTTTAAGGCATGGCCAAAAAGTGCTAGAATGACGGACCAAAATAGCATGCAATACAAGGTAGTGAAGAGGGTTTACACTACAAGTATATGGAGCATTCAAAAGGTCACTAAGCCAGCAAAAGTCAGGGGTATGACATGCCAAATAAAGCCCAAAAACCCACTGAAATATGGTCCATGCATGCAAGAATGATAGGCTCCTTTGATGAGCCATGAAAGGGATTGCTCTGCACATGCAAGAGGCAAGCAAAAGGGGACCAAACCAGCCATGGACAGAGGCTAGGCAGGTCCCAAAAGTCACCAAAAAGTGCCTGAAATAGGCCTCCAAATGATACAAACATATGCTCCCTTGATATGCTATGAAGAGGGTTGTTCTACACATGCAAGAGGCAAGCAAAAGGGGACCAAACCAGCCATGGACAGAGGCTAGGTAGGTCCCAAAAGTCACCAAAAAGGGGCCTGAAATAGGCCTCCAAATGATACAAACATATGCTCCCTTGATATGCTATGAAGAGGGTTGTTCTACACATGCAAGATAGACACCTAATATGGAAAAATGGGCTCTAGACAGAGCCTATACAGGTCCTAAAACCTATCAAAAATGGCCTGAAACATGCTCAAGAAGTGTACAAATAAGGGCTCCTTTGTTAGGCCAAATATGCTAGTAAACAAGACAAGGGGTGAGAGGGTCACCCCTCTCTGCTTTTGGTGCTCAAAACAGCATGCTAGCTGCTGAAAATACACTAGATTTTAGTGGCTAAGAGGCCTAACAAAGGCCAATGCAAAGGCTTAAGTGCATGGCTAAAAACAAGGTGAAAACAAGCATGCAAGGGGGTTGATGACCCCCAACAGAAAAATGACCTTAAATAAACATGTTAAGAAGCTCAAAATAAGACTTTTTTCAGTTTATGACAAAGCCCAAATATGCTTGCAAATTAGGCGAAGAGATGGAACAAAACAATGCCAAAAAGAGGGAAATAGAGTGTTATCCTTGTAGCCAAAAGGACCAGCAGCTTCTGGACCAAAACAACAACCCCTTAGCCTCTGAAAACAAGCTCCAGGGACCTTAGGTTGGTGTTGGAGGTGTGTGGTTGTGAGGTGGTGTGCAAAGGAGGGCAAGAACTTCACTTTTTGAAGCTAAAATGGAGAGACACAAAGGGAGATATGGTGTATGCCTCTCGACAATTTCTGAACCCTTGCAAAGGAATGAGAGGCCTTCCTTTATAGAGCCAAGGGTCCAAAGCTTCTCCTAGAAGCTTAGAACCAAGAGTGAAGATCCTCCATGGAGGATGCAGCATGTGCCTCCCAGCTGGCACAGCTGGAAAGCATTCAGGGAGACAAAAAAGGTGGGAGCTGGCCGACCAGTTCAAGTGGTCGGCCGACGACTTGCCCTGGTTGGCCGAGCAGGTCAAAAGGTCCAAGGTGGTCGTGGCCTCATATCTTAAATCCAAGTGTACAAATGAATAGACCCAATTCAGCGAGGGCTGCTCGACTCTCTCTTAACGGTTCGTGCCCATTTTCTTCCCCAACTAGATTTCTCCCCTTTTCTCCTATTTTCCTCAACTTCAAACCCCTAAGCAAGGTGTTTTGAAAGATTTTTCAAAGATTGCATCTCTCTTTCATTCATTTCCACTTTGACCTGGCTCGATTTACCGAAAAGCGCGACATTTAACAAAATGTGAGCCTTGAGACATTGTAGGAACTTTATTTCAAAAATATTTCGAACGAGAGGGTTTTAAGATCTAAAATCTTTTGATCAAGAAATGGGGTGTGAGGTTAGGGTTTGACTCTCCTCTTACCGAAGAAATCGAACCTTTGCCCTACTCAACTTTCTCTACCAAGTAAACCGTCAGTAGTGTCTAAGTCTTAAGGGCGGTCAAAAATGGGGTGTCTACAGCTACCCTTTAGGAAATTTGATTATGCACAACTTTTATTTTTTGAGTTTTGGTCAGTGCGAATGATTTAAGGATGAAGCGGTGTATTTTTATACTTCTTTGGTAATATACTTATGATTAAATTATACTAACTTTATCGTTTTGCAGAATGGTGAGACTTACTAACTTTTTATGCAAGGCTAACCCACCATATTTTTTATTTTTATTTTTTTATACTCAATTTATATTTAGTTGTGCACAGGTAATAAACTAAATGCCATCGTATCTCGGGAAACTACCCTTTGTCTCGGTGCGGGTGGAACTACTTGTGTTGTCCCATAACAAGAATTAAATGCACTTTTGTTTGTGATGGACACGTGGGTGTCAAATCTTGTACTCATACCAGTATACTTGTTTACTGACCCGTTTTGTCTCTTGGCATCTCAAATGTGTTTTGTTTGAGCGTAGTTGAGCTTCCTTTGCAGGATTAGTTGAGACTACGGTGGTAACGAGAAATAACTATGATTGTAGGATATGTCTCTTGGACTTCTTTTGTTTTCTTGAGTTTAGGGTTGATATTATTTTATTTATTTATTTTTGACCTTAGTATTTTGATAATTTGGCATTGTCGGTTATTTTCTAACTTTATATTATTTAAGTTGTTTTGACTATTTGATTCTACTTTAATGTTTGAGGTATTAGATAGTTTTGAATTTATGATGGATGGTTTGGTTGGCATTTGTTAATTTTTTTTTTTATCCCTTGTAATTTATTTATTTATTTAATTTATTTTTTATTTTTTTATTTTTACTTAAATCAAATTGAGACGGAAACATTTTGATTTTGTTTCACCCTTAGGATTTGGATGATAAAATATTGATTGGGATTTAGTCCCAATTTAATATTTAATTGTCCAAATCTTAGGACGTGACAGTGTTTTGGTATGAATTTTATTTTTTCAAAGGTTAGTTGTATGTTTATGGTTTATTGTAAACATTCACATTGTACTTTAGTATTTTTTTATTTTTTCAAAAGTTAGTTGTATATTTGTTATTTACTATGAACATTCACATTATATTTTCATTTTCATTTAGATTTTTTGTTGCATTATTTTTAAAATTATCAAATTATAAAAGGTTCAAAATTCATAATTTGAGATTTTCTCATTAGAATAATAGAGAGATTTTCTCCATGGAATAAGAGAAATATTTTCTTCTTAGAATGAGAGAGATATTTTCTCCATTAAATGAGGGACTACTGTTATATATTAGTTTCGAAATAGAAACATGTCCAAAAAATTAGAAAGGATTATGTGGTCATATTACATTAAATAGGACTTAATCGAATACTCAAAAAAAATATAGATTAGATGGAATAAAACACTTAGAAAGAGGATTTATCAAAAAAAGGACCCTCAAAAATATTACCAATTAAAAAAAATTAAAATTTTAATAGTAATTTTGTATCTTAAAAAGTCAAAAAAATTAAATTAAATTAAAATTTTACCATTTCAAAAATTAAGCAATTGTTATTAAATTAAAATTTAAATGTCAAAAGCCACCATTCGAAACATCACCCAAAAGTAGTTAGGATGCGCCTGCTACCATGACCAAAACAACAACAATGCCCAAACAACCATATTTGTAATAGAAACAATGAGAATCAATCGGTGTGTTAAGTAAAAACATTTGAAACCCATCTTTGAAACAAACCGAATCCTTTGTGCCAGTCTCCCTTGTCCCTTTGTCTCAAGTCCCTTCTCTACCACATGATCAAAGTTAAAGAGATAGATCCTGTGAAGCACGAATACTACTCTTGAAAGTACGTTGCTAACCCATCCTTGAAAGCATGTTGCTGAAAATTCCAGCTTCATATCTCATATATTCCCTTTGCTTGTCTTTGAGCTCCTTGTACTCAAGTTTTACTTCTCTGGTATGGTAGTTCAAAAACAAGTTGGGGAAAAACTAGAAGATCTTGATTTAAAAAATGTAATTCTAAATGTCACTACAGTATCTAATCAATTATGCTGCATCACCAATTGAATACATACCTGTTGTTTGGATCGATTGTTAGAGCTTGTTTAATATCAGCTTCAGCTTTTTCTAACTCAGATGTTCTTAGATATGCTTGAGATCGTCTAAAGAGAGCTTTGACATTCATTGGATCAACTTCTAAAACCTGTTACAAAATAATAATAATAATAATAATAATAATAATAATAATAATAATAATGTGGGTAATTCTTTTCACCCAGCCAAGGAAACATAACAAAACCAAGGAAGACTATATGTTATTTAGGCAAAGAGCTCTTAGATTATATATCTATAAGATTTTGATCATGTAATATTTGTGTGTATATTGATGAGTTCATAGGAGCAAAGTTAATATCCTTGACATGGACCCAAGTTTAGGCCAATCCTCCCCTTGAAAACGAATTTAGGCCATTTCCAAGCTTTTGTGCCTAGATTGTGTTGGTGTAACTAAAGGTAGAGACTATCAAAACATTCAAGAAATAATTCAACAGTAGGGATCAAACTGTCAAAAATAATAATGAATTATCAAAAACTCAAGAAATATGTGAACATCATTAATAATGAAGCAAATTAAGTAAGGGAAAGAATATAGCTTGTGAGGCTGGGAGACAGGACAAGTGGTTGTTCAAAAGTTGTATTCTCCTCTCTTCGTGTAACATCTAACGGTCAAAGACAACTCTAAGATACAATCCATAAATCTCATGCATATCTGGCCCACATTGCACGATTGGTAGTGGATGGGGATGTTGAGAAAGAACCCAAACACAAACAATTGAAAAAGAAAACAATCAATCACACACAAGAATGACATAGAGATATAAGATTGCCTACGTCTAGGACTCACGCTAGTTTCATTATATCAGAAAGAATGAAAAGAAAATACAATGCGGCTTCTACAGAAAGCAGCAATATATAGCGCTAGAGTTACATCAACAATTACCAAACCTCGGGGGAGACCCCCCACCACCACACACACACACACACGCACTTATTGGATTGAGGGCCCAGTGCCCAGTACTATCAAGCTCCATAAACGCCAACAGGGGTTGCCTCTATGTATTGATTGCCCAAAGAAACTCATCAAAGGCCATCTAATTCTGTTAGTAGACCATACATAACGGGTACCAATCAGTCTTAATACTATGGAAAAGTTATGCCTCCTCTAATGGCAAAGTTTACACCTCCTCTAATTTGATTTTAGTTCTATCTGCAAACATGTGAAAACTGGTATGCTGTCATAAACTCACACACATGCGCACACACACGGAGTGCCTATTTACAGAGACAAGGTGTGAAAAACCTTTGTGCATAAAGTTGAAGCTTCACGATACTCTCCAAGTTTAAGTTTACAAGCTGCATTATTCAAATTGCATGACAACCGCAAAGCATTTGCGTGGCACTTCTCATCATCACTAAAAGAGTGATCAAACTCCACATACATTGAAGCCTGCAAAAGGTAGTTAAGAAAACATTTTAGGTCCACAAAAACACTAAAAAAAATATTCATGCAAATAAATAAATCCTCTAGCAATTCAAATTTTCTTATAATAGATAGAATTCCTTCTCGTATTTTTTAGAGGCACGGCGAACTTTCCCAGCCTTGAACAGTGCATTTCCTTCGTGCTTCTTCCTCTCACAAGCTTCTATTTTCTCTTGGGTGTCCATCTTCCAAAATGGTTTTTCCTATACTCAAAACAGAAATGACAAAAACAAAGAAAGTTAAATGATGTTCACCCAGTCATAAAAGCACATTTTCTATTCGGACAAATAAAAAGAGTAAGAATGAATGTTGAAGTAGTAATGGTACTAATCAATATATTGAAAATTTGTGTTGCTAGACTTAGTAATGTGTATAAGGCTTGGGCTAGGCCCAGAGGGGCCCTCCAGCCTGGCCCGTTGGCCCATCTGGGTCAAGCCCATAAGACAGGGCTTGGGCCTATGGTTTTGGCCTGTGGTGGGTTAGTGGGCACCGTTTTTGTGGCCCAGTCCAATGCCAACCCTTACTTGATATGCATGTTTTTTGATTCTAAGGGAGGAGGGAGAATTGATAATTATCCTTTTTAAGCGCTCTAGCATCTCCATAAATTTAAAGATGTCTAAGTAGATAGCAAGCTCTTGTAATGGTATCATACGATTGACATCTAGAATAGCTTTTGCAGAAAACTCTGTGGCACTTGTTCAGATCCTTATGAAGTCTCTGTAAGATTCCAAGCATTCCAATGAAAACTAATTTAGCACGAATTTTAGTGCAGTTTTCAAAGAGATTGCCATATCATCAATAGCAGAATTTCATAGGAGTGATTCATTTTCACATTTAATAAGAGCCTTTCACAAAAGAAGCACACTAGAGATAAATCATAAAACACCACCGGATTTGGTTTACTTCTAAATCCTGATAAGAAATCACAAGCCAAAGTAACAAAGAAAGCATAAAATAAAAACAAAAAAAAATCCAAATATTTCAGCTACGAAGCACACTAGAGATAAATCATAAAACACCACTGGAATTGTTTTACTTCTAAATCCTGATAAGAAATCACAAGCCAAAGTAACAAAGAAAGCAACAAAAAAAAAGTCCAAATATTTCAGCTACTCCAATTCTGAAAGGGAATTAAAGAAATTTAGGAACTGAAAATCTTAGAAAAATCAATCCACCTTGGTAAAGTCAATCAACTCAACTTCGTAAAGAAGCACTGAATCTGCAGAGACCATTCCTGCAGCTTCATAGTCAGAGCTGATCGTCACTGTTGCTTTTTCTCCTTTTCTCATGGTCATTATTGCTCTATCCAAACCCTCATTAATTTGCTCTGAAATTGTAATTAGAAGGAAAAAAATGTTAAAAAAAAAAAAAAACTAACTAAACATATGACCAGGGAAAAGATTGCTTATAGTGGGATAGAAGAGAATGCAAAGATCAGAAACTACCTTCAAAACAAATATACTCGAAAGGTTCTTCATTGGACCCTTTCCTCTCAAAAACACTTCCATCCTGAAGTTTACCAATGTAGATCACTGCAAAAGCAGAAATTTAAAAAGGGTTTCAAAAAGGTTGAAGACGATTTCACGAAAGAGAAACTTGAAAGATCATTTGATTTTTAGAAATTAGAAGGATGCTAAGGCCAATTAAAACACTTAATGGAAGTAACCTTTTGCAAGTGATCCTTCATTTGGACGGTCAAAGCCTTCGCCCACATTCAATATCTTTTTAAGGACCTTCTTATCCCTAGTGACGTCAATGACACTTCTCCAAGATACCAACTCAACATGGATTGTTAACTTTGAATAGGATGGAATGTCATCATCGATTCTGGTATCACCATTTCCAATTTGTCTAATTCCATCTATAAACGAAGGAGTGAAGATAGTCCATCATTCTCACTAGAAAGAGGGAAACAATTTCATCTTCTTGCACTAGAGGTGAAAACTGCATCAACTTACAAGAGGACTTCACTAATAGCTCTGCTTTCTCACCCTTTCTCATAGTCTTCACTGCTGCGCTCAATGCAGGACAGAGATGACCTTGTCACAATAAAACATTTTAAATACATTAAATTTTCTTTGCACATTAAACCTAATTATATTAAAAAAAATTTCTAGAAAGATGGCATACCAAGGTTTGGAGAAATACTAGTGAAGATACAGTAAGTTTAACTTACCATCATTTAAACAAAATGTGACACCCTTATGAGATTCAGAGAAAACTGTTCCATTCTCAAGCCTTGCATTGTACTTGACTACAGAGAAAGGAAAACCACATTGTTATAATATAAAACCATATCAACATGATTTGATTAATGAATACACTCTTCCCCATCCCATGCACACACAAACACACACACACACACACACAAAGAAAATAAAAGAAAATAAAAGAAAAGTGCTATCACTAAATTCTGACCAGTCTCACAAACTGATGCATTTAACTAACCCTCGTTCATATTTTTTTCCCTGTCTTCCACGGTCTTTACAAATATTGGAAATGAAATAGTTAACAACGATAACATCAGTAAAATCAAATTTGAAGAAATAGAAAGAATAGTTGTAGAAGGAAAATCACTAGACAAATGGTAAGAAGGGGAAGAAAAGGTTGTTAAATAAGCCTGACATGTTTAAGTGGCAAGATATCAACTGAACATACGTACCTAAATGCAATCTTTTAACATTTCCAATGGACATTGGTAATTGTCACTTAGAAAATTGTTCTTTAATCTTTTCTTGAAAAGATAATTAGAAGGAAAACAATAGTGCAGTGAAGCCAATCTAACAGAATATCATAAACTTGAGGACATTACTTAAAACTTCATCAGCATCGTTGGGAGTAGCCCATCCTTCACCCTCCCTCACTATTTTCTTCAGTATTCCATCATCACCAGTTAAATCCCTGATGGTGTTCCATGATAGCATCTCCACATCAAAAACAAGTGTCGAATTTGGAGGGATCAAAGGTGGAGAACCAAACTCCCCATAAGCCAAACTTGGTGGGACTGTGAAAATCGCTCTTTCACCTTTCTTCATGGTGGCTATAGCTTCATCCAGTCCTTTGATAACTTCACCTGATATCCAAGGGATGAACTATCACAAGAAGCATAATGCACAGCTTAAAGAGAAAGTATGGTTTATAACCAAGACGTTTCTCTCCAATCCTTATCGTAATTGAGCATTGGAACCCATTTTGGAAAGTAACCAATTTCAGACTTGGAACCTTAAAACTTCAAAAGCAATACTTTGTTCTAAGATGAGAACTAACCATTTCTTAACATTTTTTTTTTGAAAAATTAATAATTAATGTTTAATAAAAAAACAAAAAAGGCATATATCACAAACACCGTGTCCAAAAATTAAATGATTCCTAACTTCATCATATCCACTCCAAATATAAAAAAGACAATAATTGTCATTATTTTCAAAACTTAGTTCTTCACATTAATTCATATTAACCGTTATTAAAAGAGTTAATTACACCAAACTTCCTTAAGTATTAGTCAATATCACTTTACCCCTTTCATCTATGAACTAATGTATTTTGACCTTTTCAACTATAATCACTTCCACACCCTCCAAAATGAGCATTTGTGTGATTTTTATAGTTGAGAGGGTCAAAATGTATGTGTTTATAGGTACGAGGGCTAAAGTGAGTTTTGGGAGTTAACCCTATTAAAAGTGGCTGATAAATTTCACCCAAACGCTTCACTTATATTGATAAAACCTACATACATACATACATGGAGTTTGTTGCATGGCCACACTTAGGATGTAAAAAAATGTGGCGATAAATAACATTCATCTTGTTCAAAAAAAAGCTCAAGAACAGCAGCAGAGTGTAAAATTCAATGTATAAAGAGAGAAATACAGGGAAAATGAATTATGTATTGATTGATGTGTTTCTGTATTACAAATGAGGGGTTCCTTATATAGATGTAGGTGTAGGGAGTAGGTGGTGGTAGGTGAGTGTAGTAGGTGAGTGTAGTAGGTGAGTGTGTGTCAAGAACAGCAGCAGAGAATTAAATAGAAATTGGAAGAAATAAATATGAACACAAGTGAGAAAGAATAATGGAAGTTTGAATTGAAGAACATACATTGGCCTAATTTGAACCCAAAAGAAGTTCCTCTGTCACGAGTTGAATCGAAATACGCCCTGTCCTGAACACAAACACTGTAATGGACTGAAACAAAAAACACCCAATACAATTTTAGTAATAATTCTTCATTTTTGAAGAAAAGAAAGCCTCTATTGGCACAATTTAGCAAACAGTTGGAGGCAACTAGGAGAAGAAGAAAAGGGTAAAAATTTCAAATTCGTACCTTGGACTTCGTCACCCACACATGGAGTTTTCCATGAAGTTCCCCTCTTGAGAATTTGTTTCTTCAAGGCTTGGGTTCCAATTTGGGTCTCCATTAAACCAGAAAACTCTGTTTCTGCGGACTCTAAGAAGGGTTTTGGCAGAGAGAGCGCCATTTAGTAGAGAGAGAGAGGGAGAGAGAGAGAGATTACTCTACAGTTTAGGGGTATATATGTGTACATAGATATAGATAGGTGGATAGATATGTAGATGAGAGAGAGAATTTTCAGAGTTGAAGGATAAGCCGTTAGTTTCCCTCCTTTCAGTTGAGATTTTTTTTGGACTAACTAGGTGCTGAGTTGATTTGATGAGTTGACTGGCGGGTCAAGTCACAACCCGTTGGATTGGAGGGTTGAGTATTGATTTTTTTCTCTGCTTCATCTTGTTCAAAAGGTGAGAGAGGAGAGTCATGTGAGCCGGAGGAAGCTCGCCGTAGGTGTCTGCGATGTGCTTCGAGATTGCTGACTTGTTCGAGCCGTTCTTGTCATCCAGAGCCGCGATCGCAGCCAAAATCACCTCTGGATACGGAGGGAGAATTGTAGGAGCTGGTGGGGGATGACTGAACTCTTCAGCTGCCATAAGTTAGAGTGAGAGTAACGGACAATGAGAGAGAGACTGTAGAGAAGAGCGATGCAGATGCTGGGGAGGCCGGAGTGATGGTGCTGGTAGACAACGGCGGCTGATGGGCTGGCGGTGGTGGACGAAGACGGGTCAGAGTTTCTGTGATGACAGTGGAGAAGAGAAAAGAGCTAAGGTATGTGTAGAAAATTCGAGCGGACTAGGTTGAGGTCCGGCGGACGGCTAAGGTGAGGTTGCCGCCCGCCGGTGAAGCGAAAATATTAGCTGTTCCTGACGTTCCACATCCTCCTCCTCCGGGTATGAGGATTATTGATGATCTTTTTGATAGACATCTGATTGACCGCCTTATCTTGGGGGAGGACCATGATCTATATCACAGAGGCGGCGACATCATTACATTCTTGCAGACCTGTATGATCGCTCCTCTCACCAGGGGAGTGGTTTGTGTGCTCCCTATTGCCGCCGCTGTTGGAGATGTTCCCGCTGTAGCTCCCATTCATGGGCTTCCTGTAATTTCTACTGAGGTTGTACAGATGTGACCAGATGGGGTGATTGAGCAGATCCCTTTTGATCATATTGAGGAGAGGGATCGTAGGTTGGTGATTGCTCCTAATGTTGCGCAGGTAAACATTTATTCTTTGTGTCTGCCTATTGCACTTCACAATTTCATTATGTATACTCATGTCTTCTCTCACTTGTAGGTGCCCATGGAGTATGTTGACGACCTCCTTCGGATAGTCGACCATCTACTTCTCATGGTACGGAGGAGACAAACTACCTTGGCTGCTCATGGGATCGAGGTATACTTACCCACTCTCTTCATATTCAAATATTTTGTAATTTATTCATTTTCTGACCCTAATATACTCTGATATCCTGTTCACAATTCTGCTGTATTTGTTCTGGCACCTTATATATTTTCAGCTTGAGCCGGCACTGGCTGTACTTGTGGGAACTCCTCTAGCTAGAAGGAGGAGAGAGAGAGAGAGAAATCCGATGAGAGGTAGAGGGTGAGCTAACCAAAGGATATGTGGTAAAGGCAGAGTGAGACAACACTCACTTTCTTCAGGGGAGACCCTTGATGATTATGCTGAGTACACTGCCTCTAAGGGCGAGGGGGATGATATTGCCGATATCTAGTCTACTGGAGACAGCAACGATAGTAATGAGTCCCCTCTTCGACAACCGAGGATGAAGAGGGCCAGGAGGGGTTGACTTTGCCTTTTTCTTTTCTTTTCTTTTCTTTTTTTGCTTTGTAGTCATGAACCTACGTAGCTTTAGATAGGTCATCGTTTTGCTTACTCTTGAAAACTTGTATTTTCTTTTGTAAAACTATGATCGGGGTTGAACCCTGCAGTTTATCTAAGAAAGAGCTTTTGTTTCTTTGCAAAACATGTGGTTAATGGCATGACACTTTCTAAACTGGATTAAAAACCTACAACTGACAAAAGTGTAAAATACAACTCGATAAAAGAAAAACAAAGCAAAAACAACCTAACCACACCTACTTATACTTGTTGGAACTAAAGCAACACTTAAAACAAGACCTCGAAACACAATGATGAGGTTTGTTGTGTCTGCAGTTTTGGCAAGAACTGAGATCCAGCCAGGTCTAAAATACACATGGCCAGATCTGAATGAGGACGGTCAAATCCAAGTAGCAGTTGGGCACTCTAATATAGTTGTCATGCACTCACCTATTCCCAATCTCTTATGTTTGCTTGCACACTTCCTACTTGCCCCTAGTTGTAATGGAGTCGACATTAGGCTAATTGAAGTGGCCCAATGCCTCAAGGAGGGCCAAAGCTGCATAGGCTTGGTATTGGCCGAAACCTTAATGGGCTTGGATATTTTTTATTGGTGAGAGACTTCTAGGTTCGTGGGGAGCCCGTTGCATCTTCAAGTTTTGTTTCCCACCCTTTCTTGTTTGTGATCCTCATACCACTTTGTCACTCAATCTCTATTTTTCTCTCAAAAGACCTTTCCTTACTTTTTTTTTTCTCAACGCACATCTCTCTATTATTTAATCTCTCTTATTTTTATCCTTTCCCAGCGTGTGGTTGATCCCTTAGTCTACAACTGACATCGATTGGCGATGCCCTTGGCTTAACTTGGACCGAAATTGATTAGCTTGACACACTGTGTTGTTGTTATTATTGTTGTTGTTGTTGCTGTTTTTTTTTTTTTTAAATTTTTGCCCTGCTGAGAGGGTTGAATATCCGAGTTCATTTCCCCTCCGTACTTCACACTTGGCTCGATAACTCACTGCTTGGAGGATGAGAGAGTTTTTGGCCCTTGCTACTAGCTTCAGTTGTGCCCTTTCTGGCATTGGCGAGTGTGTTGACAATGGGAAAAAGACAGAAAACCTGACCTGACTGTGCCCCTAGTTTATTAACTTGACTTTATTTTTTGTTTTTGGCTTTCTGCTAAAAGAAGTTTGACCAACGTGAGAGTATAGATTAACATGCTTGTTCTCTTTTTTGTTTTTGAAATCATGTAAGTCAAGCTGTGAGAGTTTAGATTAACATGCTTATTCTCCTTTTTGTTTTTGAAATCATGTAAGTCAAGCTGTGTGCACTGAAATTTTTTCTTTTTTGGGTCCAAGAAATGGTCCAATTTTGGAAAAATGGAATAATTTTTGAGAAAATTTGTCAACTTCACTAAAAAATCCTCAAAATCGTTTTTGCAAATGGCTACTACTCGACCAACGCAGAATTAACTCTTGAGATGCATAACCTCCAATTCGAACTTGATTTGTCTTGCAGCTAAATCCTTTATTGGAATAGGACAACCGAATTTGAACAAAGATGAGCCATCTAGACATGGATAAGATAGTCGATTTGAACAAACATAAGCCAATCAACATGGATGAGATAGGCAAGCTGACAATGGTTAGGGCCGAACTTCAGGATGAGGTTGCCTACGTATCCCAAAGATGGGAATTAGGCCTTACATAGTTCTTGGGGTTAAGGTTCACTCGAGTAATAACGCTCTCATTTTGCACTCTAACTTTTGCCAAAGTCGCCCTTCTAGGTTTTCTACCTTGTGAGCTCTATTTTTATTTTACTATTCATTTTTCTTTTTCTTTTTTTTTTCTTCTCTCTTTTCTTTCTTTTTATTTATTTATTTTATTTTTGTTCTTTTTTCATGCTTTAACTTCTGCCTAGGTCGCCCTCCCGGGTTTTCGGCCCAACGAGCCTCCCAAGGGTAGAGAATTTCTTCGACTTTTACATGTTGATCGGTTGTGAGATCTCTAAGCCATCTAAATCCATAAGAATGGCTGCTCTTCTTGAGTAAATAGTCTTGATGATGTAAGGGCCCATCCAATTGGGTTTGAATTTGTCCCTAGTGTTGTGGATAGGAACTCAATTGTCATTCAACAATAAATTTTTTGCTCTCAAATTCTGGGATTTTGCTTTCTTGTCGGTCTCCATTGGCTTGAGAAATGACCCAGTTTTGAATCTTCAATCACATTTGACCTTTTTGCCCCTAGTTCAGGGCTACTTCTAATCTAGCTATGCAAGCTTCCTTCAATCACACCCAACCTTATTGCCCCTAGCTCAAGACTTGCTTCTAATTCGGCCATGCAAGCCTCATATTTTGGTTGATCGTTGAACATTCTGAATTAAGGTTTGAAAGCTAAGGGGTTGAGTCTCAAGGTTGAGAGTGATCCTATGCTGTACAATCTCAAGATCAATTCCAGGCATGTCTTCATGGGACCACGTAAAGATATTTTTTGAAATCTTTTAATAAAGTGACTAGTCACTTGTGCTCCTCTGAAGACAATGTAGAACCACTATGGACCAAGCCAAGATCCTTCTCAGTAATCACATTAACAACCATGATCTTATTCATTAAGGGCTTAGCATGCCTCTCTTTCTCTCACTCGATCAAATTTTGCAAATCCCGAGGAATTCCTTCCTCTTTGTTTTCATCACAGTTTTGGAAACAATTTTGAAAAGCTTTGGTCAATGCAATGATTTAAAGGCACAGAGAAGTAGGTGGAAATTACTGCCTTTCATTCAAAACTTTTGGCGCAACTGGATCAATGGTAGAAACAAACTCAAAAGAAAGAGTGAAAAGACAAATACAAAAAAGACAGTGATATCCGAGTTAACACTCCCAAAATCACCTAACTCTGACGTAACAAGACTAACTCAACGCCCAATTCAGAAAGCAAAATAAAAACATTTTCAAATTGCTAAAATCATTCCATCCACTAGGTCTGGAGTAAAATGAGTGTCATCAGCAGGTGGTTCATCCCCAATCACAGAACTAGTCATATTATACCCCAAGCTCATTGATCCAGCGTCGATAGATTTTGTAGGACTTGGTGGGCCGATGATCTTGCTGTCAATCAGGTCTTGAATTTCATGGTGAAGGCAAAAACAATGGTTAGTACCACGGCTGGGTTGCTGATGGAATGCACAATACTTGGCAGCATTATGCTTGGTTGGAAGGCGATCAGGGAGAGGCCGGGGGTCAAGGGGTTTGAGATGGTCATGTCCTATGAGGATTTGGTGAGAGCTTTGGACAAGGTCATGTAAAGGGGATTGACGGTGCAGCTACCAGTCCTGGAAGTATTGACAA